ATCATCATCATTGTCATTAGTACTTTTAATATCACCACCACTCAACTCACTTGGATTTGAATCATTATTGTTACCAAACACGTCCCCTTTATTATCACCAACACTATCATCATTATTGTTATTATTATTATTACCATTGTTATTATTATTATTCCCATTACTATGATTGTCATTGGCACTTTGACGATTAGATTGGAATTCTAAAAGTTGAATTAGGAATGGAAGAGGTATAGTGAAATCATTTGTATTAGTAAGCGTCAAAATTCTTTCCACCTCTTTAATAACATCCGTCATTTCAGCAACATTAATAGCCTTTCCTACACATTTTAACTCTTCAAATGTGTCATTTAGCACCTTTTTTGCTTCTTGTGCATACTCGGCCGTCGAACCAATTGTCCCATTACTAATTATAACAGATTCGAGCATAACTGCTTGTAAGATACCATAAACTGGAAATATGAAATTACAAAACGCTGTTTTATCGAATTTTCTTGTTGTTCTGGATATGTCGGTTATGGTTGTTGCAGCTGTTAAACAAGTTTTAATTGGCACATTGTTAAATTGAGACGATGATGTAACATATTTATTGGAAGCTCCAAAGGCAGGATTATAAAATTGGTAGGGATTGTAATTATGGTATTTTGTTTGTTGAGCATTTGTTTTCGATGATAATGACAGTGGTGATGAATTTGTGAGGTAAGGTTGATGCAATAACAAGAGACAAGTGTGGAAAAGAATGTTGATATAACCAGAAAACACCGAGAAACTGGATAAGTGTAAAAGGCTTCCTGGATCTGCATCTGGCAAATACTGATACTGTAATTCGTCCGGCAATTCTTTCAACCATTTTGCCAAGGCAGATCTGATTTGTCTCAACATACTTTTTGGATCAGCTACGTGACTTTGCCAATGTTCATAACAGGCTTTTGGATGTGTGGTATAGCCGAACTTCCATATTTGGCCCAGGATATGTGATAGTTTTATTAATGCAATGAAGAAACTTTTGGTTTGTTGATCAAAGTTGAGTAGTTCTGGTAGCGGTACGTTGATGTCCATGTCATCAACCGAGTATGGTTTGGCGTGAATGAAGGAGACCCATCTGTTGCGACAATAGATACAATAAAACACTCTACGTCTTTCTTCGCTCTCCTCTGACGACAATGAATCGTTCACACGTTCCAATTGTAAACAATTTGACATCGAGACTAATTAATTGTTATTGTGAAAATGGGAGGACGAAAAAATAAGAATGACGATGTGGATATGATATGAATAATATGAACGTGGTTAGAATATGATGTGCATTTACAAAAAGATAATATTTTACATTAATATAGATATATTGACATACCAGCCATGCCTAAAAACATGAAGCTACTATCCCTTCTTGAAATATTGGATTCGGATAATGATAGGAGCAATAAAGCTTGAATTGTTTCCAGTTTAGGTTTTTCATATACTGAATCAAGTATTTTCTAAATGTTATTCAAACAAAAATAAAAAAAACCATTAATAATTTTAAATTAACGTTATAATTTTTGCTTTGCGCTCTCTATATTTAACAAATGTTTATTATTTACCTTTGCAGCATCAAAGAACACGCCACCAGGTTTACTTTCGATGTTTTGAATTGATGGATCATATGGTGATCTTGAGGCAACGTACGCCATAGTTGAGTTGACCAACAGTTCGGAGTAGATGGATTTGCTCCGCCAAAGATCAATAAATCTTTTTCTATCAAGTATAGGAAATACCGGATTAAATTCTTCAGCAACAAGATTAGATTATTTATTCCATTTTCACATCAAACGTATTTACCACAGATGACACCACCATCTTGTTACAGAACATCGACGGGTCACCCGTGCGTACAATTAAATAATTTTGCCACTGTTGCAGTAAAAATCGGGTGATTCTTCTAATCGTTGTTTCTACCACTGTACAACATTGACATCATTTTCTTGTTACCCTCCTTGACAGGTTTGTCGTCGGTGGTTTGCCTACATATACATGCAGTAGCAGAACCAAAAAAATCCCGTCAAATTTAATTTCTTTTTTGACCATTTTTTATATCTTGGTCACAAAGAATTCGTTCTCCAATCAAAAACAATGATCATTTTCCTTAATAAGTTAGAAAATATACATTAATATATTTAATTTATAAATAATTTAGCTATATTTGCTTGCTCGCTTATTATCAGATAATATTTCATCTTTTATTTATGCCTGAAATATAACTTTTTATGCAATGCGCGTATGATTTTTTTTCAATTTACGCAATACCACATATAATTTCTATCCAATTAAAATTGCTCAGTTACAAAAAAAAAATATATAATAATATTAATATTGACACCTGTATGCGGTTTTAAATTTATTAAAAAATGTTCAAAATACCAGTAATTGTGGGCGGATATTGAAAAAAATTAGAATAGAAAAAAGGAATAATAATATTGAAATTACTATTTTTGTATTTTTTTTTTTTTTTAAAAAAATGCACCAACTGCATAAAATGCACATGGAATTTTGGAATGTAACGAGACATAGAATAATTGTGCACACAATAACAACACTTCTGTACCAATAGAACTTAATGGATGTTGAGAGATGTAATTAATTCTATAGGATTTCAAGTTTCTTAGGGTATTTGTCTCAAAGCTGTTCAACAAAAGGTCCTATAGTTACCATCCACTTTCCGGAACTTGCATTAGAGTGACTCGGATACAATTCTCCCAGCTACATTTTTACAGTGTAATCTACGGTCAACTTAATTATGTGATTTCTTTCCTTATGTTGTATAAAAATTTATAAGGTGACACGTAGATATTTACAAAAAAAATTTTTCAAATTGACCCGGTGATCCAGTTTTTATTTTATATACGGTAATAAAAGTTGTCTTGATTTAAAAAGTGTAGATTTCCCAAAAAGATATCTTAAGAAAAAGTAACCTGTGGTTTTGATAATCTCAATCATGATAAAACCACCCTTTAAATACACCCGTGTTTTCACATGACCGTCGTACAATATAAAATTTGTAATTCATGTATTACATACATACTGGTATTGTCTGGAATATTAGAGTCACTTGAATATAAGCACCAGTATGAATTTGCAACAAAAAAATAGAGAATAAATATATTTTTAAATTATTTTTATTTGATTCTCATAATAAATAACAAACAGGATTCTCTTTTCCAGAATTCTAATATTTCACATTCATTTTCATTTCCTTGCCCAAATAAATGATCTTCTGGTCCATCAACTGCATTACTAATATCACACTTTTTTAAATCATTTCTTTTGGAATTTCATTCCAAACCTCAAGAATCCATTCAGGCTTTCTCAAATTTCCAATTATGTTATAGGCGAATTTACTCAAACTCATTCAGGTATTCCACTTTTTCAAAGTCTATCTTTAAATGAGGCAAACCCTCTGGAATGATCATTAAATCAATATTTTTATTTTGATATGATCTGTCTTGTGACTTTCAAAGCTATCCATTTTCAGATCTTCTTTTCCACATCTTGTAAAATTAAGCTTTCATTCTAATTTTGTCCATCCATCCTTTTAGATGTATTAGTATAATGATTTGGGGAAGTGAACTTTTTGGCTTTCATTTACCTTTAGAAATAACAATTGATGGTAATTTTGTACCATCTGTAAGAATTGCAAGGACACATGTAATTTGTTCAAACCTGCACAGTTTTGCGCCATATTTATATATAGTTAGATTTCCCAATCATGGCAAAATGAACAGGGGTTTCTTCCAATTTCTGAAAGTTCATATTCAATTGTTTTTCTTTAATCATTGGAATTTGAGAAAATTGATGTCAAGATGGCAGGAAGTTTTGACCAATCTTTTTTTTGTCACATAGCAAGATTATGCCTTCTAAGAAAGCCATAATAATAAACCAACAATGTGAAGCATTCCTGGGTACAAATTGATTTATTAAAAGTTCCTTCATATAACTTTAACAATTTTAGGAGTTACAGTCCATCCTGCTAAATTCAAAAATCCATGCTTTTGAGTCACCTTCTGCCTCAGGATATTGTGCTTTCTTACTAATTTATCATCTTTTCTTTGCCAATGAGAGATCATTAAGTGATCAATAATAGGTTTATACCCAATTGATCTTAGACCATGTTGTTTTGCAGAGTACAAAGAATGTTTGAGAAAAGTAAATTAGAATGATAAATTAAGGAAATAAAAGTGGCATAAAATTTCTTGAATAACAGTTAGTTTTTCTGACCAAAACACATTAAAATAGTAGTGTTTATATTTCAGACAATATGGTAATTTTATTTTCTATGTATTATTAAAAACATATTATAGTGAAATATAATTGACAAAAGTTACTGACATAAGAATTTGCCTGAATGTCTAACTCATTGTTGTCTAAGAATAATGTTAGATAATTATTTTTTTAACTTTGTATATCATGTGTAATAAGGTGTTAAATACACATGTAAGGTTGTGGGAGAAACTCTTCCAGAAATCAATCGACAGAGTTTTGACAGGTTACACATTAATTGTTTATTAGAGTTTCAGCAGAGTTTCGCATTTGGGGTTTTCGCCAATCATCAGAGTTTTGACAGGTTACACATTAATTGTTCATTAGAGTTTTGACAGAGTTTTGACAGTCATTAAGAGGTTTTGCCCACAACCTTAGTCCAGGAAGTAATGAAAGATAATGATATTATCACAAATTCAGATGAAAATGAAAGAAGCACATTACCTCATTTGAGCATAGAATACGTCGGATTATGATATTGAAAGTAATATGGAATTGATTAATGACCTAGTTGTTGAAGAAACTGATAATGGTAATAGCGAACTGGATGAACAAATAATTAATTCTTTTAGCATAGATTCTTGGAAGGAGTGGAAATTGAAGTCTGGTAATAGAGTAATTGATATTTTAAAAAATGCATCTAATCTTAATGGACATAAATTAAGGCAAGTTAATGTTTAATTGTGGTGTGTACTGTATGTTTTCTTTTACTAACATTTTATGACACATTAGACTGGAATGCTCAGGAATAATTCGTTGTGGATATAAAATTGCAGCTCCTAAGTGGTGCTCTAAAACAGATTATCATGAGATTCAACTTACCTGCAAACCACGTGTTTCAATAGCTCCTACAATAATAATGAAAAATCTTCTTAACTGGTACTTTGTTTAATCTCTACTTTTTGTTTGCCTTTGTTTCTTATTATTGTTATAATAAATCAAGTTTAAAATGAAACCATTACAGGGATCTTTAGATACTATGAATAAAGAATTGGAAACACTTAGACAAAGAGGTCCAGAAGCATCACTTCAAGATCCAATGAATAAATTCTTTTGTGCCATTTTATCAGACTTGTAAGTAGTAGGTTCACTCAATTTAGTTTTTAATAATATTAATGCAAGGTTTATCCATTTGTTAAAGTACTTTTTTTCCATTTTCCATCAGTAATAAGTTTGTATATCCAAACAATGCTTTGATTCAACGTGGAATAGATTCAGAAAGTATATATGGAGTTTATGTTATTCACACTTGTTTTAAAGAACTTTTTTCTGGTTTAGAAAATGAAATATTATATAAGCCGTGAGTATTTTTTGTAACTTTTAAACAGTAAAATGTGTTGTTTTGTTACACATTATATACTTGATAATGTTGAAATTTTTCTGGTTAAAGAGGTGAAGCGATTCTATCATCTGTTGAAATGTCACGAAGACAAAGGAAAGCAACTAATCATTATGAGCAAAAGGCTGATGGTGTATTTTTAATGTGTTTAAATAACTGTTTGTTAGAAGTTGGCCATCTTGAGATAAGTGGTGGGTATGGTCATCGAGAGCCACCTAGGTCAACATGGGACCATGTTAAAGGGGCTGTTGGTGCTGCATATATGCTTACAGAATTATCTCAACGATATAAAAAAGGAAATAGATCTACATTTTCTAAAGTTCAAACACACTTTGTGCATGTTTTTGGTAAATAACCTTTATAGAAAGCTTTATAGTGATCTAATTATTCTTTTAATGCTCTGATCATCTTTGCATTCTGTAGAAAATCATATAGAAATATGGCAATTATTTAATCCTGCACATGGGGTTCTTTTATTTGAGCGCACATACAAAGCTCAAGTTCCCATTAATTGGAACAATCATCGGGAATATTTTTTTGACTTCATTGTCTTACTGTGGAATCTAAGGGTATCTTGCTATTTTTATTTGCTTCAATTAGATTCAATTATATTCAAAAATTGATATGGTCTTGTTTTTTGCATAGACAAAAATTTTAGAAACAACAAAATCAATATTAGAATTACATGAGGAACACAATTACAATATTTTTGAAGAAAATTCACCTCTTTACAGAGGACTTCCAAGGACAGTTACTCCATGTAAAGATATTCATCGAGATGGCATCAATTCAATTTGCACTGAAAGTGAACCAGATAGTTAATTTCGTGTCATCCAGATTTAATGAATTAAATAGGAAATAATTCTGTTATAATCACATCTTTGAATTATAAGCAGGAATGTTTATGATGTTTTGAATATATATAATTATCTGAAATATTCATAAAAAAAGTTCACATAAGAAACAATTATTCCAAATATACTTTTATTAAAAAAAAAATTCAATATGGTATAGGATTTCTTTTAATAATGCAGAAAT